GTTAGTAAAATTAAAAACTTTTATATGTAAGGAAAAATACGTATTTTACTAATTATAATTAGTAAAAAATTTAAGCGCTGCATTACTTTTGATGACCACTATATTTTGAAAATAGTTATTGACTAATTAAATATAAAGAAAGAATATGTCGATTATTTGTTGGCTTTTAGCAAAAAATAATTTTTACATAAAAAACATTATAAATGATTTATAGCATACCCAATCAATTCTTTTAAGTACAAATTTTACATTACAAATGGATGTGACGAACAATAAACTCCGGCTTCGAATAATCTTTTAAATTTTTAAATTTTTAAAGAAATCAAGTAATATATTTTAGCAGCGCCTGATATGAATTTTTCAAATTTATTTACTTGTATATAATCAGCATTGATAAAATCCAATTATTTTAGTCATACTTTGGAATATATTTTACTAATTCGAAATTAAAAGCCTAATTTTTCATTTTATTTAAATGTAGTTTTCATAAACACAGGAAAATAGAGACAATTACAGGGTTGACGCATAATTTTTCTCTTACCAGACTTCATCTGCGAAAATAAAATTTTTATGTAAAAATATATTTTATCATTAATGTCCGCTTGTTTTCTATAAAAATAAATAAATAAATTAATGTTTAATATGGTCAAATTTTATTAAATTTGAATACTAAAAGAAGAAATCGAATATTCTCAAGAATAGAAACAAGATAATTTGGTTTATTGTAAATGACCTTTTTGAGTCCACAAATAAAACGGCCGAACTTTTCTTTTGAAAATGATAAAAATAATAGTAATGCCGTGTAATGCGTGAATTTATTATGTGCAAAAGACCGCTTTATCATTATTAAATAGATAGAAAAAGCAATTTTATATTTAGAGATTTTTCTTAAAATCGCGATAAGTTGGTTTATAAGTTTACTTTTAATCGTGATAAGTTGGTTTATAAGTTTACTATTCCGTGAATTCTTATGGCTGGACATTTAAATAATCAAATTAGTTTTCAATGACGTATAGCACCCGAAATATACATATATTTACCATTTTATGCAAAATATTATGTCATCTTTTTTATTGTATATACTTGGAAAAAGACAGATCCTGTCGAAAGTCGAGATATTAGGATCAACAAAAATCCTCCCGTTTTGTTTTATGGAAGAACTAATTTTGTCTGATGTCATGCATGATATGATCATAAGTCAAGTGATCCTGTGAAATTGCACATCATTTTTGTAAAGCTCACATATCGATATTTTTTATTGAGATTAATGTCAATATGCTGTATACATACATGTATTTATAATTTACAATGTTGTGTTTTAATCTAAAAAATTTTTGACGTAAATTTGTATCATATAGAATTAAAATCGCCTTATGATATTATAGCATAATAATTTAGGGGGTGCTTTTAATTTTTTATTTTTATATTTCTACGGGGAGTTTTTGTAACAAATTTTTTACAATGATTATGAAAGAATATTTGGAAATAAATTTGCATCATCATTTGTCCAAATATTTTTCGAATATAGAAAATATTCCGAATCAGATTTAGATTCAGGTTTAAGTTCAGGCTCAAACTCGGGCTCGGGTTCAGTCATTGCATGATATGATATTTGTTCCGAAAAGATATTTGACCAACTGACGTTTTTTCGTGTTAACATGGCTGACATTTGATTATATTTCTTTTTTTCAGCAGGGTGTGTATTTTTCCATAATTCGGAAGCGAGTTTAGAAGTCTGAGCAGCTGTTCTTACCCTTCCGCTTTTACTTAGAGCCTCATTAATCTTCTTACGGAAAAGAATAAAGGTGGCGCATTTCTTTTTTAGTTCCTTGAAATCATTTATTGACGAAATTTTATAGTATTCTGCGACTACCGTTTGATCAGTGTGATTATCACTTAAACTTTGTGATGGAACGAAATTATCGTTTTGTTCAGTAGGATTATTAATTGAGCTTCGTTGCGGAACGAGATGAAAATTTTGATAAGTGCGATTATCAACGTAATTGTAATTCATGATGACGTATCGAATTTGTGGCCAATTTCAAATGGTAAAAAATGTTGATACTTGAAGAAAAGTCAAAATATACAAATTTACAAAAGATAAAATATTAATAAAATTTTATATTTCGGTTCTAATGTTATTTTTTTTCTTTGGATTTTTCGAAAATTTGATACGTTTTATATTTTCGATAAAACGCACCACCACATGTTTGAAATTTTGTGCTACTTATCAAATGACATCATTACGTATAGAGACCTTTACGCCTGCGTATTTGCATCTTCATTTTTGTAAGACGTTCCCCAATATGAACAGTTGCGACATGTACTGTACAGTGAATCTGGTTTAAGTAATTTTTGAATGTGCTGGCTAAAAAATCATACAATACTTGTATAACTGATTTTTCGATTACACATTTCTGCAACACCAAAATCATTTGCATTAAATGAACTTTCTTAATGGAGGTCAATAATTTTTATTGGCCGTTTTGACTTTCAAACCTATAGTTTTAAAGAGTTCAAAAATCACTAATACATAAGAGACTTAATACGTATGCGTCAAAGTCTAAGTTATATTAGACTTTGTAATAAGCACAATAAGCATGTATACAAAATTTTAAATCAAATAATTAAGAACCAAAACTTTAAAGTTGTAAGTAGGTTTAAAACTATACTTCTGAACATTTTTTTGGAAAAATAAATAATATTTTGATACAAAAATAGATTTTTTCTCGCAAATTGTCGACCCTTCTATGATTACAAAAACTTTTATTTAGTTTGGAAATGTAATGTAAGTATTAAAGTTTAAGATATATGTTGATTTTCTCTCATCTCCCACCAGCAGTATATCACTAACACTGCATAAATAATATCATGAAATAGTGAAATACGAATTTCACATATAGGATAACAGTATAATTATGAGTTTAATTTAAAAATACTTAACGATTTATAATTTAAAGGAGATTATTCATAGGTGGTGGTTAAATTATAGGATAACTCGAAAATCTTTGGCAAAACTCAAAATTTTTCTGTGGTTATTCAACAGTTAAATTTGTGCTGCGAAAAATCTGTATCTTGAAAATTTGTATCAACTTCGCAATTTTCCTTGGTTGTTTCTGGGTTTAAAAATGAGTTTATAAAATTTATGTGATGTTAAAATTCTTGTTATGACCCTTAGCTTTTGGTTTTAATGCTGATACTTTTTTTTGTTTCATGAAATAATTTTATCAAAGAATATCTATTTAATTTCATAATATCCTTTATATGTGGCTGATTTTTCCTACGTTTTGGAAGCCAATTTGTTTACTATTCTCATTGGAATTTAATCCCAAGTTGCTTGATGTTTGTTATGAAAATCAGAAAACCATTAAGAATCCTTTGTTTGATTTATTTTATAAATCCATCAAATATTAAACTACTCAACAATGAAATTTTTGGTTCTTTCGGGATTGGTCAGAACCACGATAAAATTCTTGTGTACCTAAAGTTATCATATGAATGCTAACCAAACACTTAGAAAATGGAGAATAGTATTTTTGATTAAAACATGAGGACTTATGAAAAAAACTCGAAGTTAGAGTCTCGATTTTTACATCTGAGCTGGAATGGTAACACTGTACATTTTACCTTTTGTTTCATTTGTGACTATATGATTTTTTTAAAACAGACATTTTCTTTTCTGAAACAATTTCTTTATTCGAAATTAAATGCCCAAATTTTTCATTTCAATTTAAATGTAGCTTCGATGTAGATTTTGTGGAAACTTCATAAATGCGGGACAAAGCGCATGTGCTTTCGCAAAAATAGAGATTCGTAAATGATATCAATATACGCACTTCATCAACAACTCGACTTTGTTATTATTGTAGGAGTTGACGCATGTTGATTTTTTAACAGTGCGCCACAAAATTACCTTACCAGAATTTATCTGCGAAAATAAAATTTTTATGCAAAAATATATTTTGCCCATTACATCCACATATAATCTATAAAAAGTAAATAAATAAATTAATGTTTAATAGTCAAATTTACTAAAATTGAATAACTAAAAAAAAATTTCGAGAATGGAAGCAAGTAAAACAATTATACTGAAATGACTTTGTGTCTTATAAACAAAATGGCCGAACTTTTCTTTTGAAAATGATAAAGAAGAATAGTCGTGTATTATACGGCGTGGATTTATTAGTGCAAAAGACCACTTTCTCATTATTTAAATGAATATAAAAAATTATACACTTAGAAATTTTAAAATCGTGATAAGATTATCCAAATTGTTTTTTTAAATTTGACTATTCTGTAACTAACGGATGGGCATTTAAAGTAATTATTATTATACATGTATCCAGAATCCCAAAATATATGCCTTGTGTGTAATATAACTACTATGTCATCTTTTTTTCGTATATACTTGAAGAGAAACCCATGTCAAAAGTCGAGATCAACAAAAATTCCTCCCGTTTTTGGTGTGCACGTGAATATGTGGGAAATAGATTTTCCGAATCATGAGTGCATGCATGACGGGTACATTTCTTAATTGCTTGGTTGTTGGTTGTTAATTGTTAGTTGTTGGTTGGTGCATTTGTTCCTTCGCACTTCAGGAAGTACTCTAGAAGGTTTTGATTATGAACTCAGATTGCATTATTTATTTGAAATTTTGTTTTTGCTGGCATGAAAAAAAAATATTCATTGATTTTTATTCATTATGCCCTTTTTTCCACTATTCGCTACACTCTGCCAAAATTCATCCATATTTTATTTAAAATATGTAATATTGTACTAAGAAAAACACATTCTTTTCAAAAAACTAAAAAACACGACACGTAAAATGAGCTTTCCTATATCTCCTGATCAAAAATACTCTCTTCTTCAATATCAATTGGTCATTTGAAATCCCAATGCATAAATTTGACAATAAATGGTCTCTTGTCTCGGATGTATAGATCAGATTTAATTATGGTTTCGTTAATGGCAACTCATGAAGAACCTTTACTTGCAGGAAGAAGGGATTCCTCCTGAAAAACATAGAAAAACGAAAATTTGACCAGCAGGCCTGTGTTCTGTGAAGATTAAAGTATTCTGGTTGTCGTCAAAAAAAAATGCGAGTTGAACTATATAAGACTCACCTGATTATACACATTCGTTGAAAGAGAGTGAAAGACTGAAAATGAAGCGATTAAAACCTACTCATCATCATCTATCACTAGTACTGTTAGAGAATACGCGTCAGAGAAGTTAGATCTCAGTTCAAGTGTAAAAGAGCTGAGACCAAAGAAAGTTGTCAACATAAAATACAAAATAAATCGATTTCGTAATTCATATCTTCTTGGTAACGTTAATCTCGAACTTGAAATAAATAAGGTGATTTCTTTTCTAAAGAGAAAGAATATCAAGTTGTGCGTTATCAAATTTCTCATCAAAATCAAGAGTTCATTTTTATGCATCCCGATCAACTAAAAAACTTCAGCATCATGGCTGATTGATGCTGACAGATTTCACGCATGAAACAAACAAATATGATTGGTACTTATTTACTTTTGTATCTTCGTAATGGGTATGGATGCTGGAACGTGAATGCCCATTTTTTCGTAAATAACGAAGACAGTAATACTATAGCGAAAGCTATAAAAATACTTCAAAGATTTACATGTCTCTGAAAGCCTCGGTTCTTCCTTGCTGGTTAGAGCAATGTGGATGCCAACGGAAATTAAAATATCTTTTCCTTTAGAATATGTTGTTCTCTTCTGCACTGTGTATGTCATGAGAATCTGAATGAAAAAATTTATCACGTAAAAAACGCGTAATAAAATAATTCAAGCGATGCACAGAACAACAAAAATCAGTTGTGATTGTTCAACAAGTGATCAATAATTGTCCGTTTCCCATTATTTAGCAATATATCGCAAGGTACTATGCGCGGAATACAAATTAATGGGCTCTTTGGACACATCAAAATTACCCTCTTCTTTTACAGGTAACTAACACAAACTCGCTGAAATTATATCACAGTGAATTAAAATGAATAATATCTCCTCTACATAGTTTAGTTGGTAGGTATAAGTTTCTTTTATGTTCATTTACTTTTCTTCATTTATTACGTGATTTTCTTTTATTTATGCGATTGCACCAGTTTCTTTCATTATGCGATCATGATCATGCTACTTCAAAAGAACTAATTTTAATAATTTTAGGTGCATGCTATAATGTTGTTTTACTTGTGAAATACTCGACAAAGTTCACAAATTTCTCTTAGTGAAGCTTGTGCCATTGAAAAAAGAATACAAAAAGGAAAAGTGGTACCCAGATTATTACCATCTCATTGCTATTACCTCTTTTTCTCACAATATCGATTGCACTGTCAACATATTCCCATGAGAAAATGTATGGTGCTAGAAAACTTTTAAACCACTAGCTTCGGGGCAATTTCAGCAAAGTTCGAAAAGTATGGATTTGAGGTGTATGGGAATTACGAGCCAGTAAAAATTGTATCGTGTGAAAAAACTGAAGCTGAGAGAACGGCTGAAAGTCGACGACAGATTATAAATGAGTTTGATGGAAAGAACATGCGACCAATATTGAAGAGTTGAAGAGAAGGGAAATGCTGAACAAAAAATACATTTATTAAAAATTTAAGAGCTCGTTTAATATCTATTTTAAGTTATTAATATAACATTATAAATAATAGATTATGATTTTATTTTATTTTTATCTTATGAACAACAATATACTTTATGTATATTTGTCATAATCGAGTATTAGATTCATTTTTTTTATCGTGATAAGAATCACACTTTCTTTTTTGGTATTCTTTTATAAATAATTAATAATCGAATTCTCAATGATCTCAAGAGTATTTTTCGGATAGAAAGATATATATAATTACGTTTAATTTCTCACTCAAAAATTAATTAATCTGATCCAAACATATGATCGAGTCTTTATATCGTTCAAACTCGCATTTTTTTTGGCAACAAATTAAAGCCGGTCGAATTTTCGGTTTCCTTATCTTTTTCACTA